TCCTCTCGAGCGACATTACAAAAAAAAAATTATGATGTCGCCCGAAGAAAAAAAATCTACCTTCTCCCCACGCGGGGACGTCGCCTTTATATATATATATATATATATATATATATATATATATATATATATATATATATATATATATATATATATATATATATATATATAATTTCGTTGAGGCGTTGTCTCTCTTCGCCCCACGACGCCGATGACTCTTCCCCCCGTGCGCGGATGAGAAGTCACCGACAAACGAGGAGGAGAGCAGCGCCGATCTGCAGGTTCTTTTTTTTTCTCATTTCTTTCTTCCTCTTCTCCCTCTTCTTTCACTTTCTCCCTCGGTCACCGTCGACAATAACGACCTCAATCAACGATACCGTTCGGTAGCGGGCGGTCTGTGTACTGGTCTGCTGATGGACTGATATGTACTGCCCTTACCAGGTGGTATCATTCGGTATTGCAAACCTTGCATGGGACAACAAAGAGCATGAGATTACTGTATTAAATTAATTCAATAGCGTTAGACATAGTTAGGCCTCTTCACAGAACAGGACAGTTTGAATTAACATCTTTCCACCTCGCGCCACCAAAATGCCTTAGATAAGCATGATCAACTCAAGTCTACATTAGCACTGATCTAATGTTGAAAACCCCTGGAACACCACCAAGGAGGCTTTTCTAATATTTTTCCCAAGCAAATACATGATGACCAGATCTAGCCACAGCCTGCAGCTCAAAAGTCTACCCACATGAACATTCCCCGCTTCAACTTAACTTCCTTACCCTTAGAATCCATTTTCTCCTATGGATCCATTCTACAATATTCTGTAAGCCAAAGAACATTTCCTTGCATCATGATTTGTGACGCTATGGGAGTATTTTCAAATATTAATTGCATTTCTTTATGGAATTAGAGTTTGTATGAATATTAATGAAATACAAATAGATCAGCTAATTGTTTTGGGTCAATCATGTGGGGACTTTGTAATTGAATTTGAATACAGATGAACAAAATGGAAGAAGTATAACCAAGAAAATCTAGCCAATATGAATGAAACCATGTAATCAACAGTGATATAGGCCAGCACCTTAAAAATATTTTTACTAGAACCATTTAAACATTTATTGATCCTAAAGACCCCAATCATGAAATCTACACATGTATCTTAGAAACAGATAACTCATATGACAAATGAAGAATAAATTTATTCATTACTAACCTTTCTTAGATCTGCTACCATACTTCCATCATTCTTCAGTACAACATCACCTGTACCTCGACAAATGTTAACACTTTTACTCAACTCCCTCTGGATTTCAAACAGACGGGTGTGTATATTGCATGCAATAGCTTTTAGCAGGAGTTTCTCAAGATCAATGCAACTTTGATCGAGTGAAAAAATAGCTTCCTTGCCAGTAAGTGGGTCTAATACAAAGGAATTATGTAGACACTTAATCTGTGTATCTTTCCCTGGTTCAAGTTTGAGAAATGGACGTGAACTAAAATCAGATCCCCCGGCATTTTTGTCAGCATCTAACCAATAAATGATTTTCAAACCAGGAGTTTTTAGGCCAGTTGAATCGAGTTCACCGTCTTGGGCCAGTTGCAAAGCACTAGTATTTGCTCCTTGTGTGCAGTGCCATCAGAGATAAGCTCAAAGCGTATTGCATCCTTCCACCTACATTGACGTAGTACCTGAACTTGCCTTAGTACAGTGTCCATAACAAGGGCAACACACAGTTCATGGAGAACTGTGTATAAAATTAAAAAAGGATTTTCGGTTGCAGCCATTCGGCGCTCGAGATCATCCCCAAGAGCATATCTTCGTGTCTCTTCAAGTTTAATAGTTCCACTCTTCTCCCCAACAAGCAACTCTATGTGAAGTATCCTCCACAATGACAGATGACCACGGTAACCCAAGGTAAGGAAAACCTTAAACTCCCCATCCACACGAAGAACAGCAATACCATCAGAAATAGTTACAAGTGGGCTTTTGTTCATCCTCAGGCAGTGTAGTCTGAATAACCAAATCTTCTATACATTTTGGCAGCCGTTTATATCCTCCTGAGAGGAGTATTTCAATAGCAGATGGAACATCAAATATAGGAGCACGTGCATGCTGCAGTCCTTCATGCATGTAAAATAATGAATCTGCTGTTTGGGTAAAACAAGTATCATGGCTGGAAAGTGTTGCTGCAAGTTGTTGGCAATACTGAATCAATGGTACATGCACAAGTCAAAATGTAAGTTATGTATCACAAGAATGGGCCACCAATAGGCTGCTTAAGAGCTTAAATTCCAGAATTCCAAAGAGACAAAAATAGTCTATTTTTTGTAAAACTTTGAAACTCGAATATCAATGCAAATTATCTATTTAAACAACAAAACTTATTCATCATATTTCCCTCCAAACCAAAGTAAATAACTGAGCAAGTTA